ATAGATGTGAAAATGATTAAGATGGCAATCACAAAAGTCATACATTAAAGAAAACATTAATTTGTGCTGTCAAGAACTGTCACTTTTTAATGTCTAACATTATGCTTCAAGTAATTTGACAGACCAGATGAGGAAGGAAAACCCATAGACAAGATCCTTCTCTGGCACAATCAGCAGGTTCTGGTTTGTGTCAATTATTGCATAAAGAGAAAAGATGTTATCTAAAGTTATAGGTTGTAAAGTGTTTTCTTGTCTATCATATAACAATATAAATGGAACTGAGGAATTAGTTCTTTAATTCTGAGTACTAATACCCACTAATTGTGCTTTTTTATAAAATTTAAAAGGCTGTCTAAAATGATGTTATTATATATTCAAAAATAACTTCTTATAGAACCTTGTGCATATAAGACATAATTATTACAGGTGAGTTAACATGTATGCAATGTTTTCTAAGACTGATTGACCTTCAACTACACAAGAACAGGCATATGTATCTGGGCAGAAATCCAAGGGTACCATGAGACTGTGCCATTGCATGTACTCTCAAATTATCAATACAGCTTGGGGTTTATGAAAATAAGCTTTAGAAAGCACCATCTACACCAGCCACATGTTTTCATGTCTTCTCATTCATTTTCCTGTTACAAGCAGAATTTTCTGTCCACATGAAGAAAAGGCAGACATATATTAAAAACTGCAGAGCATGGACAAAAGAACCAACAGTGTGGCAGGGCAGGAGCAAGAACTCTGTCTTTTCATTCAAATGTTACCCCTTGCATGCTCTGTAACTGAAGAAGCAATCAGATACCCTAAGACTTATTTCCTTTGGCCACTGAAATAACCCTATTAATTAATAATAACACTAATCTGAGGTGAACACGGTGTCAAAGACAATGCCATGTATTTACCATACATCTCCTCTTCCTGCTCACTTGTAAGGCTCTATGATCCCCACCCTGCTGAGTTATGTCAGGTTCATATGCCCTAATTCTGACCACTGAACCACCAGCCCATGAGTGGCACCTCCTACAATGGGCTGTGACCTCGCACATAAATTAACAATTAAGAAAATATCACACAGACATGGTCACAGGCCAGTCCAATAGAGGAAACGCCCCAATTGAGGTTTCTCCTTCCCAGGTGTGTCAAGCTGGCAACTGAATGATCCAGCACACTCCTTGAAAAATAGAATCCACTCCTTCCATAAGAGCTGTACACTCACTTAAGAAATTAGTCTGCATCTCTGTTGGATTTTAACATATCTAGGAAATTGAGACAAAAATTGTGGATTTCCCCAAGCATCTAAACTGACATGAGGGAAGTCAGTATGACAACATCACCTGTGGTCATTATTGGGAACTGCCTCCAGCATCACAAAGGCCACAGGAAGACTGAGCTCTGGTGAAAAGCTGAAAATACACACCAATAAAGTAACTTTCAGACTTCAAGGTCAGAACTGAGAGGATGGAATGTCACATTTCTTTTAATCTCCTTTTAGGAACAATAAAACGGTAAGATTTTTACACCTAATACAGTTTTGTCTACATTTCAAATTCAGCACCATGTACACAGAATTGGGGCAAGCACTCCTGAGGCTATGAATATGACACTTAAGATGCAATTATTATTTTTGTATGAGGTAGCAACTTTTATTGATCAAGTTATTTGAAATAATCATTCAATTTACAACTCTTGAAGGGATATTCACCCTATTCAATAAAATTATTCATTGATTAAATTCAAGAGAATTATAGCTGATTTACCCTTTATTGGATGAATAGGAGACATGGCTTTACAAATACTGTTGAGAGGATTCAAACGATTTGTAATAGAATCAAAAGGTCAAAATTCAAATAGAGAAATTGGCTTAAATTTAATTTTTGAATGTGGTTTTCCAAATATCAATTTTGTATTTGAAAGCAGTCTTGACAGCTCCAGAAGTGTGTAAATGAATTTAAACCCATTGACGGCTTATTTTAATGAAAGAAAAATCATAAATACTTGTAACATATTTTTAGGATATTTCTGAGTTGCTAGGTTTAAAATTCAGAAATTGTAAATTATGATGAATTTGGCAAAATCAGCTATTTGATGAACACTAAAATATACACTTTATGAAAATAGGAAACTGAGTTAGAGCATTTCCTCAGCGCGTACACAGCTGAATGTCTGACCGTTGCTAGAATTCATGATGTACCTTCTTGCATGGAATAGTGGAATCATAGTAGATGGAGGTGCAGTCAGTACAGCCATTCTTTCTATTCGCCTCAGTTATGCATACACTCTGGTCAATAGAAAAGGAATCACTATGGCAAGAAGACAACCTAAGCTCATGTTTACTCAACCTTCTCTCTCTTCTTCCTTCTTAGTAAGCAGAATAATTTTTTGATGAGCATATTGCTTTTGAGAATCAAAGACTATATGCTAGGAATAACTATTTGATCAAATTCAAGTGTAATGTAAGATTTCAGGAAAATCTGCTTAAAGAAAACTGAATCATCTTTGGGGGTTCTTCTGTTTTACCTGTTTTGCCTTTCCCGATCACCCCACCTGTGCTTGATTTATAATGGCTTGAGAACCAGCAGCTTTCACAAAGCCTGTGGAAGCCATGCACTGGGAGGGAAGAACAGAAAATAAGGGCTTGAAGCCTTCATGGCACCATGGCATCACCATAAATTCCAGTCCCCATGTGGCTGTGGTGTGTAAGTTCACATGACATAGAACTGTATTTCTAATCTTCAAATTATAATTGTTCAGAGCTCTTATCCATTATGAATAGCAAAAGTGATTTTAACTAATACAACTGGTTACATCATTTTAAATAATAATAAAAAACAATAAATGAATTATCTAACTAAATTGTCTGCTGCTCTAAGTTGATTAATGTGTTTATGTAAACTCAATTTTAAGTTTATCCTATTAACAGTATTGGTTAGGTGTCCTAAAACACTAGTATGTCTTGTAAGAAAATCACTCCCATCAGCCATTTATTTTAATAATGTCTTCTTCATATATTTTAAAGGATCTAGAGGAGAAAAATTACTGAGACTCCATCTCCTAAGTTATAAAGTCTCTTAAAATACAGTAAGATGTGCAAGAACATTCCAATGATTTATTTTTCTAAAATAATTTAGGGAAGAAGAAATAGACACTTATCAATTCCCTACTATTCCACTTTGTAGCAGATATTTTTGTTAAATCCTCACAACGAACATTTTTAGGAAGTTGGTATTACTCCCATTGGTTTTAAAGGGGAGTATTGGGACTATTAAGTGGCCCTTTTATGTTGTTTGTACAATAATTCCAATTTCAAATCCCATACTCCTTTCATAATACCCTGCTACAGGCATGCAGTGACATGTGATGCCTGAACAGCATTTTTTGTATTAACCCCTTTTTCTCATTTTACTTTCAAGATCACACTAAAAAATGATTCTACATAGGAACAATGAACAAAACTTTAATTTCCAAATAAAAATTACACTAAAATCTTCTGTTAAAGCCACTATGGTTTTGATACCCTTTAAAGTGGTACACCATCCTATTTCTGCCCTGTATATAAAAAGAGAGAACTAGGTCAAAGTAAGGGGAGAGAAAGGGAAGGGGCGAGGGAGAGCACAGCTGAGCTGACTTATGTGCATCCAGACCTTCTGAATAAGACTCTATTCCAATATTTTTTCCTGTGTCATATTGTGATGGCAAAATATTCCTTTTCCTAAGCTAAAAATAAGACTGTAGTTACCACATTCTAGTATGAAAAAATTCACAGGAGGGGAATCTCTCCAACTCCTCCCACTTTGATCACTTTCTCCTTCTCCTCTTACCTTACATAAAAAAAGAAAAGTGTCACAGGTAATTTCTCCTGTATTTTTCAAAATAAATGGCTGACACATTAAGATTTCAAGCTACAAAACCATGAACAGCAAAGAGGTACATCTTAGAATTCATCTTAGAATTCACAGAAGTGACTCTCATCAACTACATGTGCTCATGTCAATACATTACAGCCTGTGTCCCTTAAAACAGAGATAGAAACTCAAAGTTTGGCAAGAAAGAAAACTGTTTTGAACATATTTCTAAGTCAGTTAAAATACTTAAAAAAACTGAAGGTATTTCCATCATAAACTACTCTTTCAATATTATTTTTGGAGTTGATGTCTAAAGCAAAATTAACTATTTTTAAACTATCACAGAACTTGCTAAGCATCTTCTAGTATTGTAATAAAAATGTATTTTTAAGTTGTAGTGATATTCAGGACTTACCACCACCTCCTCCAAGAAGACTGGCATTTGCTGTTTAAAAAAAGACAAAAGAAGTGATATTGAATAACATATATGAAACATAATGTACTAGAATAGTTTAAGAAAAAACTAGTAATGATGATGTAGCTTATTCAAATACACACATAGAACAGACATACTTTCATACAAAGACAGTCTTAAAACTATGACATGAGAATTAAAATATCCCTCTATTTTTGTCTCCCTTTTCTCTTCAAATGGCTATTTTCAATATACGTCTATTTTATTACTTTTATCTCTTTTCTTTTCAAATGCCTATTTGAATACACTTCCTTATAACAAAGTTAAGTACCTATTGTAAGTCTTTTATTCTCCAACTGTATCTAAATTAATCTTCTGAGTTCTTCATTTTTATCAGCAGAGATACAACAATGCTAAGTAGGCAATTTCAATGATTTCAAAGGACAATGTAATAAAAAATATAATAACAATTTAAATTAAACACCATCAAACAAAATTATCTCAACACATTTTGCTGTAAGAATAACTCAAACTTTTACTATAATAAGTCATATTATCTTTTTATATAAACTTTATTTAGGAGAAAGAAAGAAATGTTAATGTGACTTCTTACCTATTTATTCAGCCTACCTATTCATAGAAAGCAAGTAAGTATAAGAAAATCCCACTGGGCCTAAACAAAACATTTCTATCAACCACTCTAAGGCCTGCAACATTGTGGAAGAAGAGGCAGAAAGAATGTAAGTGCCAGAAGATAAAGATAAGGGCTACAAAATGCCATCTTCTCGGATAGACACAGACATTGCAACCATGAGCTCATAAAAATTGTAAATGCTTACATTGGGTCTGCACAGGAATGAGCCAAAAGCCCATCAACAGAGGAGGGGCTCAAAGAAGCCTACCATTCGCTGCTGAACTTTTCCCTTTGACAGATTCAAGGAGAGAGGTCATTGTTTGCAGTTGTATACCACTAGTGACTTCAGGGCTACAGTGAAAAAGCTCAATCCAATGGTCATGGAGATGACACTGGTTAAGCTAAATGGGTCACAAAACAAAATCAAAAGTCATGAATCCAGAAAAGATATTGGTAAAAAGAGGAGGGGATGATAGAGATGGGAGGAAGTTAAGAAAGGGTAGTGGGAGAGTAATCTTAATGTATTATATACATGTTTGAAATTGTCAAATAATTAATAAAAAGGAAAAAGAAAGAAAATTCCACTTGGATTTCATTAAAGAATTCAAATTATCTGAAAGTTGCTCTGCAGATTATTTGCTACACTAATAAAAATGTTATACTTAGGTTTCTATAAACATAATAACCATAAAATGGAATTCAATATATACTGTACTGAGCTTTATTCCATATAATTCTTATGTATCACTGGCACTCTTTATCCCATGTTATTAAAGGAAAAAATTCTGCAGCAATACTATGAAAGTAGATAGCAGCCAAAACCCTCCTTTCTTGTGAAGAAAACTGAGTTAACAAAAGGTTAAATAAATTGTTTAGGAAAGAGGAGTGAAGTACTTCATTTGAATTTTTGTGTGCTTTCCACAGACCGTTTATCGCCATAATTTAGGAGTAAATATCTGTGTTAATGATTGAATCAATAAACAACAGACCATTTGAAGTATACATGCCTAGATTCATAACTGGATTAGAGTAAGTGTGTGACAGTTTACTGACTATTGGAAAACTAAAGAGAATATCATAAGACTGCAAGGAGAGCGAATGCCCTGGGAGTTCCTTTCAATGTCATCATTAGAGCATCAAATTCTGTTTCATGTGATTGTCCAAGTACAGAGCTGTCTCAGTGCTGCTCCTGTCTTCCTTCAGTGCTTTCTTGAGAACATGGCACAATCAGAAATCGAACTGTCTTCTGATGTCACCCTACTATTCCCACCTCCAAATCCCTCTGATGTCATACTTAAAAAGGATATAGTATTTATGCAAACAGCAGCTAGTGCTTAACATCCTGCCCCAAGGTCAAGCCTTTCAACTACTGATCAGGTATTTGTTACAAGAGCCTAAAAACAGAGATCCACCCATATCTCTTGATGAAATCTTAGCTGATGTATTTATAAAATTACAAGTTGTGGTTGAATCTTTATTTTCCTATTTGATTGAGAATTACTTTCCTATCTGTGAGTGTTGGGGTCCCCGAGATTCCATCTGCTGTCTTCCAATTTTCACATTTTAATTTATAACAAAAATGTATCTCCAACAATAAATAAGAACAATAATAAATAGTTTCTATTCACTGAAAGCATCCTGACCAGGAGCACAAGAACATGATGCAGTCTCTTTTCATCCATCATTCATCAATGAAGGTGGAAGTTGTCTGTTTGGAGAGTCTACCCCAAGGCCATCTGTTTAACCAGGCACTTATCCAATAGATGTGGGTGGATGAGTGGGAGTAGGTGTAGGAACTAGAATTCCCATCCTGGCCAACAATCAAGTCAGTTTATGTCAATATGTGCTCATTTCTAGATAAGCATATCTATGACTTAAATAGGGAAGTTTTTTTTTCAGTGAAATTGACAAAAATAAGGAAAGTTAATTTTTGTTGTGACTTCTAATGTGACTTTGCCTCCAAAATGCATTTCAATAACTATCCAATACTCACTGGTCAGATGAACTAATATTTATTCCATTTTAAGGTAATGAAAATGACTTTTGTATATTTAAGGCTAAGGCATTTAACTCCCACGTAATAATTTCTAACAAATCGACACATGTTAAATAGAAAACTGCTTGAAGATAAGGTCTGAACTTAACAGTCTGGACTTCATGAAATAATTTCTAAATTTTTGTTTGCAATTGTGAGATAACTGACATGTTTAGTCAATTCTCTTTTCAAGTAAGAAGTATCTATTTGCAAAAAATGTGAACAAGCAATATTCAGCCCTATTTATTCTATAAAATCAAGGACTATTAGACTCTTTTAAATGCTTATGGCTTAAAACATATGAAATATATTTATAATACCATCAACAGTTCTTGCCAGAATGATTGTTGACTCTGTTCTGTGTTATTCCAAGAGTTTTACATAGGAAAGAAATTGAGCAAAGAAACAAAGAAAACAAGGTTTATGAACATGATGCTACTACTTCTAAAGTAAGATTTCAAGAGCTCTTTGAGCTGCTTACTAACCAACACAATTTATATTCACATTTCTCTAAAATAAAATGCCCATTTCATTACCAGAGGAGGGAAGCAAAATATCAAGTTATAGTAATTGTTTCAAAGACTGAACGAATACAAAACTCAAATGAGCCATTCTACATTAATGAATCTGTGTTTTCATTTCATTTTCCCTCTAAACAAAGTAGTTTCTTTCAGTGAGAGAGTTTCACTGCTAACAAATTGAAAAACTTGAACATAAATAGGAAAAAGGGTTCTCTGAAGCTAATATCACAGTGGTAAATGTAGTGAACTCTATACAAATGATCAGGTTTAATGCAATGAGAATTTATTTCTTCCATTTAAACCCAAATTCAAAATTTTAATTAAACTTACCAAATGTATATAGATATAAATATTCATGTTTAAAGTATTAAACCAAAAATTCAGTTCATTGTAGGCAGCTGTCTTGGAACTGGTATCTTAAGTAATAAAATAACAAGCCAATTGCTAATAGCATATTACTTTATCTCAAAATATAAATGATATAAAACTACCTCCTTCCTGTGCTATGTATGCTACCAAGAAAAGAAAAGTATTATCAACCTTGCCCAGCTGTGAACCCTGTGAGTTACAATAATAACAGGTTGGGCAAAATATGCTCACTAACATGATAGTGGCACAAATGTTACAGGAATAACCCACCACTTTTTTATTGGATTTAAGGCCCACTTCACAAGATGGAGCCCATACCTAGCACCGATATCAGGCCTAAGAACCTGACTAGACAGGTCATAGGCCATAGGGAAGAATTTACTACTATTATTCTGTTAAATGGACATAGTATTAAATGAACTCTTAATTGATTATCATTATACACACATATTAATGCATCTCTCTACTCTCACCAGAGAAGTCTCTTCTTGTAGCAGATAGTGTTTAACATAGAGATTTACAACTGGTCTATGTGCAGTAAATAAGAGACTGCAGAATACTTAGCCTTGAAAGGGACACCTATTTCAAACTCTTGCCTTCCAAGGCTTGGGGATCATTGTGGAAGAGGGGGCAAAAAGAGTGCAAGAACCAGAGATGGTGGGTGACTATGAGGAAACAGTGCTGTCTAGAGAGCATGGAAATTACTCATATGAATTCACAGCCATTGTGACAGTATGCACAAGACCTACATAAGCTCAAGCCAGACAAAATCCAAGCATATGGGGTGGGAGGAAATCGGCAGAAAGTCCCAGTACTTGCTGAGGAATTACTGGCAGATGATACCTGCTGGGAGAGGGAGAGTGTGTGATACTGGGAGGTTGATCAGGCTCTAGGGAATGAACTCACACCAAAGGGCATTTAGAGACACACAAATTAGATTCCTTAGGTCTTAAAAAAACAATAAAAGAGGACATGAAATACAGCAGGGGTAGTAAGGGGGAATAAAGTAGAGGAGGAGTCTCAATATGATAAAAATTCATTATATGAAATTCTCAAATATTGCATAAAAATATTTTTAAATGTATTTCCTTCCTAAAAATTCACATACATAACCCATGGTGTTAATCTTATTCTTCTTTAAAATCAGACTAATAAAAAATTAAAAGCAGAAAATATTATAATAAACTTTTATGACAAATTATGAAAATATTTGATTGTCATGTACAATAAATAGCTGTATATGACTAGAAATTCCTAAATAGCATATAAGTCACATATCTGGCACTTGAATCATTTTTCCTCCTAACAAACCTCAAAAAGTTTTCTGGTCACTGTCTAAATTAAATAAATAAATAAATAAATAAATAAATAAATAAATAAATAAATGCTGAGCCAAGGGACAAGCACCCTTTTAATTTAATCTCTCAGTCACTAAATGAGTGAATTGAGCAAGTCCTCATCATCTGATTTA